CATATGATTATATCAATATATGCAGGTAAAACATTTGACAAGATACAACATCCATTTATGATTAAAAACTTAATAAAATGGGTTTAGAAGGAAAATACCTTAACATAATGAAGGCCATATATGACAAACCCTCAGCTAATATAATAATTAGTGGTGAAAAACTGAAGCCTTTTGCTTTATGTTCAGGAAAAAGACAGGGTTGCCCCCTATCACCACTGTTATTCAACATAGGATTGGAAGTCCTAGCCAGAGCACTCAGGCAAGAGAAAGAAATAAAAGGCATCCATTTTGGGAATGAAGAAGTTAAATTGTCACTTTTTGCAGGTGACATGATTATATAAAAAATTCTAGGGCCGGCTGAGTGGCGCGATGGTTAAGAACTGGCTTGGGATGCCAGAGGGCCCCGGTTCGTATCCCTCATATGAGGGCCAGTGACACTGCCCTCCACAGCTAAGATGCTGAACAACAGCTCAACCTGGAGCTGGGCTGTTGTGAGTTGCTGGCGACGGCGTAGGCTGCAGCCCCTGCTGCAGTGGGTTGCCATGGGCTACCGTGTGTAGCCAGCAGCCAGCGTGAGCGGCCAGCAGTCACAGTGAGTGGCCATCCAGAAGCCAGTGACTGATGTGCCTTGCCCAGGAAGAGCGCAATGATGGTGCCAACTTGGGCCAGTGAAGCAACGTCCTCCACAACTAGACTGAAGAACAAAACGACAGCAACTTGTCTGTTCCCTTTCCCCTAATTCCCCAGCACTGTTCCCATCCCCCCAATCCCCCAATAAAAAAATCTTAAAAAAAAAATTCTAAAGACTCCACCAAAAAGCTATTAGAAACAATAAACAAATACAATAAAGTTTCTGGCTACAAAATAATTTGCAAAATGATTGCAAAAAATCCATTATATTCCTATATACTAACAATGAAATTTCAAAAAAGAAATGAAAAAAAATTTCTTTTGCAATTGCAACAAAAAGAATAAAATACCTAGGAATAAACGTAATAAGGGATGTGAAGGACCTCTACACTGAAAACTATAAGACATTTTTAAAAGAAATTGAAGACAAAGAAATGGAAAGACATTCCATGTTCATGGATTGGAAAAATCAACATAGTTAAAATGGCCATATTACCCAAATCAATACACAGATTTAATGCAATCCCCATCAAAATCCCAATGGCATTTTTTAAAGAAATAGAACAAAAAAAATCATCAGATCTGTATGATTTGTATGATCAGGGCTCACAAAAGACCCCGAATAGCCAAAGCAATCCTAAGGGGAACAAAAACAAGGCTGGAGGTATCACACTCCCTGACTTCAGCTTGTACTACAAAGTGACAATCAAAGCAGTATGGTATTGGCAGAAAAACGGATCCATAGACCAATGGAATAGAATTGAAAACCCAGATATATGAATAAATCCACATAAATATGGGCAGATAATGTTCAAAAAAGGAGCCAAATACATACAATGGAGAAAAGAAAGCCTCTTCAATAAATAGTGCTGGGAAAATTGGAAAGCCACGTGCAAAAGGATGAAACTAGACTGCTATCTGTCACCATATACCAAAATTAACTAAAAATGGATCAGAGACCTAAACATAAGACCTGAAACAATAAGCTGCATAGAAGAAAGCACAGGTACTAAACTTAGGGACCTCAGGTTCAAAGAGGATTTGATGAATTTGACCTCAAGGGCAGGGGAAGTGAAAGCTAAAATAAATGAATGGGACTATATCAAACTAAAAAGCATCTGCATAGCAAAAGGAACCATCAACAAAACAAAGAGGCAACCAACCAAATGGGAAAAGATATTTGCAAACAACACCTCTGATAAGGGGCTAATATCCAAAATATATATAGAATTTGTACAACTCAACAACCAAAAAAACATACAATCCAATTAAAAAATGGACAGAGAACCTGTACAGACACTTTTCCCAAGAAGACATACGAATGGCCAACAAATATATGAAAAAATGCTCAACTTCATTAGCTATTAGAGAAATGCAGATAAAAACTACAATGAGATATCACCTCATACCTGTTAGAATGGCTATCATCAACAAGACAAATAATAATAACAAGCATTGGAGAGGCTGTGGAGAAAAAGGGACCCTCATACACTGTTGCTAGGAATGCAGATTGGTGCAGCTGCTATGGAGGGCAGTGTGGAGGTTCCTCAAAAAATTAAGAATAGAATTATCGTATGACTTAGCAATCCCTCTCCTGGGCATCTACCCCAAAATTCTGAAAACATTTATCTGTAAAGATATATGTTCTCCGATGTTCACTGCCGCATTATACGTGTATACAGTGGCCAAGACATGGAAACAACCCAAGTGTCTTTTGATAGATGATTGGATAAAGATGTGGTATATATACACACTGGAATACTACTCTGCCATAAGAAAAGATTAAATACTGCCATTCGCGACAACATGGATGGATCTTGAGATTATTATGCTTAACAAAATAAGATAGAAAAAGTTGAGAACCATATGACTTAACTCATATGTGGGATATAAAACAGAAAACAACAAGACAAACAAGAAAAGAAACAAAAATTTATAGACACAGGCAACAGTTTAGTGGTTACCAGAGGGTAAAGGGGGCAGGGGGGTAGAAGAGGGTAAAGGGGGTCAAATATATGGTGATGGAAGGAGAACTGACTCTGGGTGGTGAACATACAATGTGATATATAGATGATGTAATATAGAAACGTACACTTGAAACCTATGTAATTTTACTAACCATTATCACCCCAATAAACTTAATTTAAGAAAACACCTTAAAAAAAGGACAATAAACTCAGGTAGATAACTGAATAAACAAAACAAAAAAACTGACAGACCTTCAGGGGAGATGTGAGCACCCCAGGGCCTCCCATTGGGTGAGGGGGTCATCTGCCCTCTCCCTGCTGGTAGCTGAGCCTGTTGTAGAAATGCCCCAAGCTGACTGGACACTGAGCAGCGCTTGGTTCTGGGCCCCAGCCCAGGGCTGTGCTTGGTTGTGCTGGCCCCAGGTAGAATCTGAGGTTTGGGATCAAGGGTGAGCCAGGTGGGCCAGGCCCATGTTCATCCCAGTCCAACCTTGAAGCGGACTCGACTGCTGCACAAGAAAGGCAATGATGAAGGCCGGCCAAATGGCGCATTGGTTAAGAGCTGGCTTGGGACGCCAAAGGGCCCCGGTTCGGATCCCACATGTGAGGGCCAGTGACACTGCCCTCCACAGCTAAGATGCTGAATGACAGCTCAACCTGGAGCTGGGCTGCCATGAGTCACCAGTGACGGCAGGTGGATTGCCATGGGCTACCGGGTGTAGCCAGCAGCCAGCGTGAGTGGCTAGCAGCCGCCGTGAGCAGTCCAGAAGCCGGCGACTGATGTGCCTCGCCCAGGAAGAGCGCAATGATGGTGCCAACTTGGACCAGTGAAGCAATGTCCTCCACAACTAGACTGAAGAACAAAAAGACAACAACTTGTCTGTTCCCCTTCTCCCAATTCCCCAATAAAAACCTTAAAAAAAAAAAAAGGCAACGATGAGCTCCCAGAACATCTGACAAGGCCCACCCTCCTCTCAAGCATGTTACCTCCACCATTATCTCAACTCCTGCCATGGGTCCTGACTATGCTGATCTCTCTCTCCCACTCTGATCTTCCTACACCAGGCTGTGTCTGACCTGACCACTAACCCCCACCTCCTGCAGTCATCAGTGACCAACACAGGGCTTGGGCCTGAGGAGGGAAGGGACAGAGGCTGGGGCGGAGTTGCGGGCTCCTTACCAGGACCCACTCCTCCCTCAGGTCACCCCTTGGCTCTGTGGATGCTCTCAGACCATTTCAGTCTCTGGGTTGTTGCACCAGCTGTTGCTCCCTCTGTCCAGAGATCGCTCCTCCCTGATTGCAACATGGCTGGCACTTTCTTGTCATGCAGGTTCCCACCTATATGTCACCTCCTCAGAAAGGTCTTCCCAGGCCACTCAATCTCAAGCCACCTCCCCGGAGACCCCTTCTATCTGTTTAGCTCACTGCCAGCTCCCCAGCATCCAGTACAGGCCTGATAATATGAGTGCTCAGTCACTGTTTGCTCAATGTGGAATGTGTGCCGTCCAGCCTGGGGAGGTGTGCACAACCCCGATCTAGGCAGCAACTGAGCTGGCCTCTGAAGGAGCAACCCGCCATGCCGAGTTGGGATCAGAGCGTGTGAGGCCAAGGTGACAGAGTGGGTAGAGGTTTAGAGGTAGCAAATAGGTGTGTGCTTCACAGTGCGTCTGTTGGCTGGAGCACCGAGGAAGTTGGTCACTGTGGGAGTAAGGAAAGACAAGCGTGGGACTTGTGTGCCGTCCTAAGGATATGGACAAGAGCCACAGACCCTGAAGACTAGAAAATTAAGTATTTTGATCGGATTTGCATTTTCTAAAACTGGCTCCCCAGTAAAACACACTGCCAGGATGTGGGTTCTGGGGCCTATCTGGTAGCAAGGTGGCCTGAGGGGCGGAGGTGAGGGCGGTGGGAGAGGGTTGCTAAATTATCCAGCAGGAGTTACAAAGACCTGAGTCAAATTGAGACACTGTTGACAAATCAGTTGTTCAGAGCATGGTTTATTTTCACAAATGTGTAGAAACCAGTTAAAAACCTGAGATACAAATGAACATACCCCCTGAGTCTCCCAGTTAAGTCAGAAGGAAGAGGATATGGCTCTTCTGCTAAAATAAATACACCTCATATTGTACAAGGTAATAAATAAATACATAAATAAATAGCCTCAATAGAATAAAAATAACATAATTGCAAAAGGCCAAATGGGGGCTGCACATTTCAGAAATGAGATAATTAACAGCTCATCTGATTCCACCGGAGAAAATGAAATCCTTCAGGCCTGGGACTGTGTGAGGGATGTCCCGGCGTCTTCAGATGTCCTGCTGCTTCCGAGGTCCCGAGGCCTTGTCGTGAGAAGGCCCAGAGACGGAGCGGGATGTCGGACTGAAAATGCTTAAACAAGTTGGCTAAAACCATCCGGACTGCTTAAGGCGGGCCAGATACATAGTTAATTTCTTCTGGAAATCGTGCCAGCCATTGATATCGATTGTTTTTTCCTGTAAAGAAACCAGGAAGGTGGTGTTAGATGAGGCGAGGTTGGAAGGCAGGTGACAGGCTGGGGGGCAGGGCAGGGGCGTCTGAGGGAGCAGCTTACCTCCGACGTGGGGGTGGGCAGCAATTGCTTGAATTTCTGTGGGAAGAGACCAAAGCAGACAGTCAGAGACTCGCCTGGAAAAGGAGCAGGCCCTGCTCCCCTCCTCCCCAGAGGGAGCCAGGGCCAAGGCAGGGGTCCTAAAACCCTCCTCAGCTTCACACACCTCAAGATTTGCCTTGATTTTCATTCCTTTCTCCTTGAAATTGTTGGTAGCATTCAAGAATGCATCCAGGTTCAGCCACAGGTTGCCTTCCTAAGGGAACAAAGGATACATTTCAGAGGGAAGGTTGGGGAGTGTTGTTCAAATGTCCAGGCTGAAGTCCTCCCCACAGTTTTCCAAGACTGCTTTCAGGGACATCCTTGGACAATGGCCTCCTCGTCCCCTTCTTGCCCAGGTTGCCCTCAAAGGGCAGAGACCTAGAGGTGAGAGCACACTCCAGGCCAGGCCTCCTTCCCTCCTGCCAAAGCCCTGGCCCCATGTGAGCTGCGTAAATGGCCTGGGTGAACCTTTCTGCACTTGGAGACAAAACATTTCTCAAAAGGAGCTCTCCAGAGGGCGGAGGGCTGGCCAAGCGAAGTATGTGCAGCCAAGAGGCCAGGTAACAGGGTTAATGCTTTGGCTGAATCAAGGGCTCCTAGGCATCAGGAAGAAAATCAGAGGGACCCCAGCGTGGAAACGGGTGCAGCATGTGAACTGTGAGTGCCTAAAAGAGGGGAAACCACAAACTGCCAATAAACTCAGTAGAGATTCAGCCTCTTGTTTGACCCCGAGGAATGCCATGCACACAAAGGTGAGATAATCACTGGAGCCACCGGGAGCTAGGAAAAATAGCTGTAAGTGATAATGCCCAGAGCCGGGCAGGGTGGGAACCCTAACTCAGTAGCTGAAGGGAGAGGAAGGAAGCAGGCCTGCTCACGGGGGAATGTAAACCTGTAACTGAGCGTCAGGCCTTTGGTATATTGTTCACCTTGAGCTGCCTTTCCATTTTGTAATTTAAAATTTTCATGTTCTAGCCATGGCTGGGGAAATGCATTGAAACCCGTGAAGCACCAGAGACACTGATCTGGGAACTTCATGCATATTGTGCAATTTAATTGTCACAACAACCCCACAGCGTTAGGTGCTATACACCCTATTTACAGATGAAAAAACTGAGGCTAGGCAAAGTGGCATGACACATCCGAGGTCACACAGACAGGAGGTGGAGTGGGACCCAGGTGCACCCAGGTACAGGGCTGAGCTCTTACCATCAGGACGGGTATCTCATTTGGGTCCATGGTGTGCTGCTGTGGGGGAAGGAGAGAGAGCCCATGAGTCCTGCTGGCCTGAGGTGCCTGCCAGCCCTTCCCTACCACCTTATCCCAGCTACTCACTTCTGGAGGCACAGTAGACTCGTTTAGGATGCCCATAATTTCCTCGATGATGTTGTCATAGTTCTCAGTCGATTGTGTCCTCAGGGGCTGTCCCTGTGCCCGAGGGGCATGGAGTGCGAGCAGGAGCAGGAGCACGTGCAGGACGGGGAGGCTGCTCATCTCTGGGCTGGCAGGACACCTTCTGTCTTGTCTTGGTCCTTCGTGGTGTTCTGAAGTGTCCAAGACAGCTTCTTGTGTTTTATATGCAGCAGCAATGTGCCCGCAATCGGGCTGAGTGTGTGGGGGGGTGGGGGAGGGGAGGGTGGTCATGGGAAGAATCTTTATCTAACATGGAACCTCCATATCAAGCCACAGACATTCGTCACTTTCTAGTACTCAATATCAGTGAAACTTGGGCGGAAATTACTCAAAGGGTATCTCCTCATCTTTCCAAGGAGGAATAAAAGATGGGCTGGCCACTGAGCAGAGTGGGGGCAGGTGAGAGGACTCCTCCAACAGGTGAGGGGCTGCCTGACTCTGAGCTCCCCCAAGGCACCTGCTCAGTGGGACCTGGTGCTGCCATCGCCTGGACAGCCCTGACCTTCTGCTGCCTGCCCCGCCTATCACGGCCTAATCCTGTATGGGTGGCCAGGGAAGGCCCACTGGGACAGGCAAGAGTTTGTCCCACAGCCTGTCATACAGCTAACCATCCATGTGTGAGCTCATCCACTGAGAAGCACACCTCTTGACACCCCTCCCAACACTGAGTTCCTGGGCTTAAAGCCCCCAGTGGTTTGTCTCCTGGGGTTTGGGCAGCTTCTCTTTGACCCTTCCTGATCCTGGTGGGTGGCAGATGGAACTCAGGCACCAGAGGCCCATTCTTTTATTGGTCTGATAGCAGCACCCTGTGCTGTGGGATCTTAGTCCCTGGGGGATCCTGGCTGTGGGTGCCGTGCAGTCCCTGGTAGCACAGAGAGGCTGGGCTCAGGGACCTGAGGACAGGGATCCTTGAAGAAGCTGTCACTGGGAGACAGGGAGAGGGGGCTGGCCTGGGGTGGTTCAGATGGTGAGATTGGCAAGATCTGAGGGGCGAGGGAAGAGAAGAGAGCAGGGCAACTCCTTAGTTTCAGGCCATTGTTGGGGGCTGATGTTGCAGAGGCCTGGCTCCCAGCCTGTGCTGGAGTCTGGATTCGGCAGATGCATGCCCAGTGGGAAAGACTTGCAGAGCAGGGAAGATGGCAGGGACTGACCCTGGCGGAGATCACAAAGGACAAGAGAAGCAGCAGCCAGAGAGGAAGCAGAAAAACCAGGAGGGTGGGCGCCCAGAGGAGGCAGGGCACCTGAACGAGGAGGCAGACCCCTGCCCCATGGCACCATCCAGCCCTTACACAGGCCAGGGCAGGGGGTTTGGGAAAGGGGTGAGTGTGACAGGGATGTGGGAAAAGTTCTCTGAGAAAACTGGGCCTGGCTGGGGGGAATAAGAGGCAAGATGGAAAAGCCAGGGGTCAGGGTGTCTTGTAATGCAATCAGCTTGGGGAGGTGGGGCAGCTTATGCTGAAGCAGGGGAATTTGGGTGTTTCTGGCTTCTGAGCAGGAGCTGATCTGGTAAGACAAGGACCAGGATGTGGCTGCAGAGGAGGCAAGTGAGGCGACTGTGACCCAGGGCAATGCGGTGAGAACAATGCCCATAGCCAGACACACAGTTCCTGGCTCTGCCACGGGCCAGGCCCAGGAGGAGCCTGGGACCTGGGCCCAGAGCATCCTCAGAAAGCAAAGGCACGTGTGAAATGAAGCCACACGCGGGGAACCTCAGGGCCATGTGCCCACTAGGCACAATTCAACAAACTTTTATTAAGCACTTGCTGTGTGCAGGCACTGTGAATGAAACAGACACGGTCCCTCTGTTTAAGAAACTCACAGCCTTGTGGGGAGGGGCAAACTGAAAGCCTTGCTACTCTCAGCGAGGACTTCGGACCTGCAGTTTCAGCATCACCTGGGGGCTGGTTACAGGTGCAGACCCTCAGGCCTTTACCTAGGCTTTCTGAATCAAAAACTGTATTTTGACAAGGTCCTCAGGAGATTCACATGATATTTAAGATATTCCGATTTAAACACTCAGGCACATGGGTCAGGGGCTGGGCCTCTGAGGCCCAGGGCTTCTTAACTACTCAACCGAGGCTGGGTGTTACCGTCTATACAAAAGCATGGGGGACTTGTGCACACACCAAAAATGTGATTTCTTCCAGAGAAAAACTTCTTTTTTTTTCATATAAATGGGCTTTTTTTTCAGAGAATTTTAAAGCGCGGTGAATTTTAAAGCAATGAAGGCTGAATATTCCTGCACATGTTTCTTTAGAAGTCCTGACTTTGTGTTGTATTATAGCAAAGAAACATCCTGAGTAGTTCTATTTTACATCTTGACATTTGTACGAGGAAGTTTAGGCTTCAAGAGAGCAGTATTGGAAAAACTGGAGTTTTCAGCCAGGGAGAGATATGGTCCGTTGAAGGTTTGGGTCCAGGAAGTCCACTTTAGCTTCTGTGGGGAGAAGGCTGGGAAGAGGCAGGACAGCCAGTGGCCAGTGAGGGGAGGGGGAAGTTCTCTGGACAATAGATGGTAAGGAGGCTGGATTAGGTTGATTGTGGTGGGGATGGAGAGAACTGGATAAAGGAAGGTAAAGACTCTAACAGCCAACTTGCGCTGAGTGGCACTAAATTCTTTCATGGGTTAATCCATTTAATCCTCATAATAAGCCTGTGAGGCAGGTACTATTATTATCTCCATTTTACAGATGTGGAAACTGAGGCTCAGGGAGGCTGAGTTCACGCAGCCAGGAAGTGACATCACCAGGACTGACTGCAAGCAAGTCTGTCTGACTCCAGAGGCTGAGCACCCACTTCAACAGCACTGAAAAGTGACAGAGTAGGGGTTGATGCAGGGTGGCGGGAGGGGAACAGCAGGGTGAGGATAAGAGCCCTGGGATTATTGACGAGAAGGCCACTGGCGCCTCTGGGCGGGCAGGTTTAGTGTGTGGTGGAGGTAAAAGCTGCTGGCAGTAGGCTGAGCTGTGAGGCTGAGATAGAGAAGACCCTTTGAAGAAGTTTTATTCTGAAAGGAAGGCGAGAGACGGGGGCGCAGCTAGAGGTGTCAAGGGGTCAGAGAAAGAAGTTTGTCAAACAGCGAAGCTTGAGCATCTCTCTGCTGGAGACCAGCTGGGGATAGGTGAGACAGCTGGAAGGTGCACCAGCACAGAGCGTGCAGGGGGACGTCCACAGGGAGGGCTCCCACCATTAGGTGGCACGTGCCCACCTGAGCAGAGAGCTCAGGGAAAGGCTGCTGGGTGGGCCCAGTACATCTGGCAGGGAAGGTGCAGTGGGTTGGGTCCACGGGTTTGGTGGCAGCCGGAGACAATGGTTTCTGTGTTCCCAATGTAATAGGCAAAGTCAGCCCCTGAGGATTTGGGCAGGTGGGTTAGAGTTACGTTGGGTGGCATGGTTGGGAGTCTGTGAGCTGACTGTCGGGGGATGACCTTGAGGGGCTGGCAGCCTGCTAGGGTGGGAGACTCCAGGGCTTCCCTGGGTCAGAGTGTAGAATGGAAGGCCCATGAGGCAGGGTGATGGGGCCATGGGAGGAGGCCCCAGTGGGCGGGGAAGGGAACAAGGACGGCCAGAGCTAGGGAGGCAGGAGGTGGTACAACCCGGCCACCTGCAGAGGCCCACTGAGTGCAACCCACAACCTATTTCTGTGTGAGGAACAGAGAGTAGTCACATTCCACCAAGCAAATGGGATTCAGAGGAAGCTGCCAGCTGCCACTATGGAGGACAACTGGGGACCCTCCGCAGCACTTCTGTAACCTCTCTGGGGACAAGGGAACCCTGGGCCTCCCTCAGGAGTCTCCTTGGAGGTTGGCCTGGACTCTCAAAAAGCTGCTTCAGGTGAAATCATAGGAACCCTCCTTCCCTCCCCGACAGGCCGCAGTTCTGCCTGACCCTGGGGACAGGTCTGGCCCTCTGTATGAAAGTGATTCCAGTCCAGGGCATTTGTGTCAGCCCAGGGAGAGCTGCCTCCTCCCCACAGGCTAGGCTGATTGCAATCAGGAAGGGAAATGAGCTGAGGGTGCCCAGCCCGGGCAGGCACGAAGGAAGCCCTGTGAGGGCTGGGGCAGGAGAGCCAGCGCGGGCTGCTGCTGGAGTCTGCAGGAAGGAGACCCTGTGGGTTTCAGGGTGGGCCTCAGGGCCCCACCCACTGGATACCTGTGGGCCTCGATTCGCTTAGAGTGGAGCACCGTGTCCAGGGTCCTGGCCCTTGGGGCCCATCCAACCAGAGGTCCATGCCTGCTCTTTCCTGTCACCCCCACGGGCCTAGTGGAATTTTCTGAGGTGCCCACCAGGCTCAGTCATCATGACGAGCTCCCATGCCACCCTCTCCCTGGCATCATGTATCAGATTTAGTTGGTCCATGATCTCAGTCACGCTTCTGCTGGTGGCCCTGACCACACTGCCTGCTTTTGTCAATACAGAAGGCAGCTCAGAGCTCCTGGCTGGCCAAGCAAGCAGTGCCATCAGATTTTACATGTCCACTGGAGCAGGGAGCTCAGGAAAAGGCCACCTGGGTGGGCCCAGATGAAGAGGCCTGGCCTCCTGTGCCATCCAGCTGTGTCCTTCCCTAGGGCCTGTATAGCCTAACCTGTGCACTCAGCTTTCTGTCCCATGCTGCAGGTGTGGCCTCCTCAGAGCGCACCTGTGCAGAGTGGACCTCCTCCCAGGTGCAGTCTAATAGGGAAAATAGACGGAGAATCACAGCTTAGAATAAGCCTGGGGTGGGGGATGGGGGAAGCCCAGGCATGGAGCAGCCTCATCCAGCCTGGACCACCAGGAAGACTGGAAGAAGGGACAGCTAAGACCTGAGGATGGTCTGGAGCCAGGAATGTCACAGAGGGAATGCTCCCAAGCAGAGTTGGGTTTGGGGGTACAAATGTTCTGTCTGTTGACCTCAAGCCTACTGGCCATGGTTCTGATATTGGGGTAGTTGGGAGCGGCTGTGTCATCCTTGTTGTTGCTAACAAAGGTATAGACATTCAGTGCCCATCACTCTCTCCTTGCTCACCTGGAACCCAAAGATTTGGGACATGCGTTCCTATTGTGGTCATTGTATTTATCTCAGACAAAACCAAGAGCCAGGG